CTGATATCCCAGTCACAACTGATAATGCCAAAAATTAAATAAATGCAGTGAATGAGGCTGGACTGGGCCCAGAATGGACCGCCTCCTTGGGAGAATCAGGAAGGTGGTTTAATATATGAGGGTAAATACCCTCATAAAGTGCCTTCTTATGTTGCACTTTGTGTTGTTTTTCATTAATTATGTTAAATAGACATAACATGGACAGCACAAACATAAAATCAGTGACGTCGCCCGGCATGGCGCAGCCGGGGCCCCACCCTGGAGCCAGGCCTGGGGTCGGGGCTCGTATGCGAGCGCCTGGTGGCCGGGCCTTAGCCCACGGGGCCCGGCCGGGCTCAGCCCGAATGGACGACGTGGGCAGTCCCTCCTGTGGGCCCACCACCCGCAGAGGGGTCCGTGGTGGCGAAGCGGTGCAGAGAGGACTGGGCAGCGGTCGAAGGCGGAAACCTCGACGACCCAGTCCGCACACACAACAGCTGGCTCTTGGGACGTGGAACGTCACCTCACTGGGGGGGAAGGAGCCCGAGCTCGTGGGGGAGGTTGAGCGATACCGACTAGAGATAGTCGGCCTCACCTCCACACACAGCTTGAGCTCTGGAACCCAACTCCTTGAGAGGGGTTGGACGCTCCACTTTTCTGGAGTTTCCTGCGGGGAGAGGCGGCGAGCTGGGGTGGCCATTCTCATTGCCCCCCATCTCAGCCGTCACGTGTTGGAGTTCTCCCCGGTGAATGAGAGGGTCGCGTCCCTCCGCCTCCGGGTGGGGGACAAGTCTCTCATTGTTGTGACGGCCTACGGGCCTAACAGCAGTGCAGAGTACCCGGCCTTCTTGGAGTCCTTGGGAGGGGTACTGGACGGTGCACCGCCCGGGGACTCCGTTATTCTCCTGGGGAACTTCAACGCCCATGTGGGAAACGCCAGTGACACTTGGAGAGGGGTGATCGGGAAGAACGGCCCCCCTGATCTGAACCCGAGCGGTGTTCAGTTGTTGGACTTCTGTGCCAGTCACAGTTTGTCCATCACGAACACCATGTTCGAGCACAAGGGTGTCCACCAGTGCACGTGGCACCAGGACACCCTAGGCCGGAGGTCGATGATCGACTTCGTTGTTGTATCATCTGACCTTCGACCGCGTGTCTCGGACACTCGGGTAAAGAGAGGGGCGGAGCTGTCAACCGATCATCACCTGGTCGTGAGTTGGATCCGCTGGCAGGGGAAGAAGCCGGTCAGACCTGGCAGACCCAAGCGTATAGTGAGGGTCTACTGGGAACGTCTCGCTGAGCCCCCTGTCAGACGGACTTTCAACTCACACCTCCGGGAGAGTTTCTCCCAGGTCCCGGCGGAGGAGGGGGACATGGAGTCCGAGTGGACCATGTTCTCTGCCTCAATCGCCGATGCGGCGGCACAAAGCTGTGGTCGCAAGGTCTCTGGTGCTGGTCCCGGCGGCAACCCCCGAACCCGGTGGTGGACACCGGCAGTAAGGGATGCTGTCAGGCTGAAGAAGGAGTCCTATCGAGCCATGATGGTTCGGGGGACTCCTGAGGCAGCTGTCCAGTACCGGCAGGCCAAGCGTGCCGCGGCCCGGGCTGTTGCAGAGGCAAAAACCCGGGACTGGGAGGAGTTCGGAGAGTCCATGGAGCATGACTATCGGTCGGCCTCGAAGAGATTCTGGCAAACCATCCGGCGCCTCAGGAGGGGGAAGCAGTTCTTTGCCAACACCATGTACGGTGCGGGTGGAGAGCTGCTGACCTCGACTGGGGATATTGTTGGGCGGTGGAAGGAATACTTTGAGGTTCTCCTCAATCCCCCCGTCACGTCCTCTGTTACAGAGGCAGAGGCTGAGGATGTTTGGGCGGATACATCCATCTCCCTGGCTGAGGTCACCAAGGTGGTTGGTAGCCTCCATGGTGGCAAGGCTCCGGGTGTGGATGAGATCCGCCCTGATTATCTAAAGTCTCTGGATGTTGTAGGACTGTCTTGGCTGACACGTCTCTGCAACATCGCGTGGCGATCGGGGGCAGTGCCAATGGGGTGGCAGACCGGGGTGGTGGTCCCTCTCTACAAGAAGGGGGACCGGAGGGTGTGTTCCAATTATCGTGGGATCACACTCCTCAGCCTCCCCGGAAAGGTCTACTCCAAGGTACTGGAGAGGAGGCTACGGCCGATGGTCGAATCTCGGATCCAGGAGGAGCAGTGTGGTTTTCGTCCCGGTCGCGGAACACTGGACCAGCTCTATACTCTCCATCGGATACTCGAGGGTTCATGGGAGTTCGCCCAACCTGTCCACATGTGCTTTGTGGATTTGGAGAAGGCGTTCGACTGTGTTCCCCGGGGTGTCCTTTGGGGGGTTCTCCGGGAGTACGGGGTCGGGGGTCCTCTGCTGAGGGCCATCCGATCCCTCTATGACCGGAGCCAGAGCTGTGTTCGCATTGCCGGCAGTAAGTCAGACCTGTTCCCGGTGAATGTTGGCCTCCGCCAAGGCTGCCCTTTGTCACCGGTTCTGTTCACTGTATTTATGGACAGAATATCTAGGCGCAGCCAGGGGTCGGAGGGGGTCCGGTTCGGAGACCACAGGATTTCATCTCTGCTGTTTGCGGACGATGTTGTCCTGTTGGCTCCAACGAACCAGGACCTGCAGCATGCACTGGGGCGGTTTGCAGCCGAGTGTGAAGCGGCTGGGATGAGAATCAGCACCTCCAAATCCGAGGCCATGGTGCTCGACCGGAAAAAGGTGCCTTGCCCTCTGCAGGTGGGTGGAGAGGTCCTTCCTCAAGTGGAGGAGTTCAAGTATCTCGGGGTCTTGTTCACGAGTGAGGGAAGAATGGAGCGTGAGATTGACAGGCGGATCGGTGCAGCGTGCGCAGTGATGCGGCCGCTGTATCGGACCGTTGTGGTGAAGAGGGAGCTGAGCCGAAAGGCAAAGCTCTCGATTTACCGGTCAATCTTCGTTCCCTCCCTCACCTATGGTCATGAGCTTTGGGTAATGACCGAAAGAACGAGATCGCGGATACAAGCGGTCGAAATGAGCTTCCTCCGCAGAGTGGCTGGGCGCTCCCTTAGAGATAGGGTGAGGAGCTCAGTCACACGGGAGGAGCTCGGAGTAGAGCCGCTGCTTCTCCACGTCGAGAGGAACCAGTTGAGGTGGCTCGGGCATCTGTTCCGGATGCCTCCTGGACGCCTCCCTGGGGAGGTGTTCCGGGCACGTCCCACCGGGAGGAGGCCCCGCGGAAGACCTAGGACACGCTGGAGGGACTATGTCTCTCAGCTGGCCTGGGAACGCCTTGGGGTCCCCCCGGACGAGCTGGAGGAAGTGTGTGTGGATAGGGAAGTCTGGGCGTCTCTGCTTAGACTGCTGCCCCCGCGACCCGGCAACGGATAAAGCGGAAGAAAATGGATGGATGGATGTTAAATAGACATAATTGGATGGATGGAATATGCCTTCCATCAATCCATCCATTTCTTTCCCCTTATCCATTTCTAGGTCAGGGGGGGACAGTCAGAGAAGGTGCCGAGTCCACATGAGCTGTGTTTATTAAAAAGACAAAACTTTTTTTTTTGAAAAATGAACCGAAAAATTAACCGAACCGTGGCCTCTGAACCGAGGTACGAACCGAACCGTGATTTTTTTCAAACCGTTGCACCCCTAGTTGGTTGCTAACATTCACATGCAAATTTGGGTAATAACCTAAAACAGCAGGGGGCTGGGGTGAGCTTTGTTTATTCGTGTGGGGGAGGAAGAGCTGGAGAGTACTGGAGACAGCGTCTGTGAGAACAATACATTTCTCAAACCTGCAAAACCTGGAGATGGAGAGGACATCCACCTTGAGCTGGCTTCGGACTCTGAGGCCCAGTTTATACTGAGACGCTGCGCAGACGTTTCCAGGCTATTAACAGAAACGACCTGGCTCCTAATGCAAATTTCTCAGCGTTCACATGAGGTTGGAAAACGATGTAGTTCTAGCACTCGGCCAGTCGTGGGCAGAGAAACTTTACAACACGACACATGACCCCCAGCCCCGTGCCCAGCCCCCCTCTCTGCAGTGTACTCACTTCCTGTGCCAGACCCTCAGAACGCACCAACATCATTCTGCATTTTAACAGCAGCTGTGAAAATGGAAACTGAAACTAGAGCTTCGCGTGGTCTCATTTGGACGAACAAAGGTGTAGAATCTTCCTCTGTGCCGTACTGGAAGCCCACGAAGCTAGTTAGTGTGACCGCTGCCATTGATATTGAGGTTTGTTCTCCGCTACTGCGCATGTCCAAATTTACGTGCGGGGAGCAGCACGGCGGCAGGGGTCAGAGCACAGGGGGATTTCACACCTTTTCCCCTCTTGCGGGTGTGAAAGAGCCCCTGAACACTTACGTTTCACCCCCCTGGAACACAGTCTTCGTATGAACGGTTGGTAGAAACCGACATCCAACTATACCGTTTTACTGCCACATTGTCTCCGTGTAAACTCAGCCTGAGTCGTCTGAGCTCTCTACAGGTTAGACTTTTTTAAATATTATTTCCATTTTTATATTTCATTTTAAACAAGGTAAAAAACACTAAAATGGTAAAGTGGAGTGAAGTTAATATTTATATTCTGTTCATTCTGCAGATGAGGAACCTGCTCCTCAGCCAAAAAAGAGAGCTCGATTTCGGACTGAAGTGACTGAGACAGCGAAAGATGGCATGAAGAGCAGCTGGGGATGCTATTCGATTTCACCCCAATAGAAACTTATGCCGCAGATGGAGAGCCAACAGCTAAGGCCAAAAGTAGTATCACAAGTCGCCTTCAGAGCTTTCAGTGTTTCATTACTCTTGAAATGCTTCGTACCATTCAACAATAGACTATTCAACATGCTAAGCAAATGGGGCACGTCGATTGGTTCATGGCCCTTCCAGAACTAATGGCATTTATAGCAATGGGCATTTTTCGTGGGCTCACCAAAGTGCCATCACTACGTCACTGCTGGTCTGCAAACCTGGGAAACCTACATATCATTGGAACAAACATCATGCAACACCTACGCTTTGACGACAAGTTCACCCGCGAAGACCGTGCAAAGACTGATAAGTTTGCTGCAATGCCTGATGTGTGGGGATCGTTTGTCACCAACTGCCTCTCTTTGTACAATCCCGGTCGACACATCACCATTGATGAACAGCTTTTCCCATCAAAGACCCGCTGCTGTTTCCTGCAGTACATCGCTACTAAACCTGACAAGTTTGGGATCAAGTTTTGGGTAGCCTGTGACTTGAAATCCAAGTACATTTGCAATGTCCTCCCATATCTTGGCAAGGACTCCAGCCGTCCCAGCGGTGAGAGACTATCTGAAACTGAACCATTCCTGGACAAGATTCAGATTCAGATTCATTTATTTGCCATTTGCAGTAAAACCACATTGGAAAAACTGTGCAAGACTACCCCGGTGTGCACCAGACAGAGAAGACGACACACACCAGAGCTCTTGCCACGGCGCCATCTTTACGAGGAGAAATGTGACCACGGACAATTTCTTTATATCGCTATCACTTGCAAAACGACTGCTTGAACGAAAAACCACCGTCCTCGGCACAGACAACAAGATTCTCCGGGAAATTCCTCCATCTACAAGACGTATGGACCGCAATTAAGTCACCTCTCAGTTGCTTTCGACCACGGGTGCAACGCTCACAGTGTACACTCCCAAACGGAAGAAAGCTGTCTACATTCTCAGCAGCATGTGTAGTAGTAGGCCCTGCGTGCCCGGTGGCAGCCTATTGCGTGCAGTCTCCTCCCTTTAAAAGGAGGATGGATCACCTGCACCATCTCTTTGCCCGCCTCTGACGTCACCGCTGTCCCAGGAGCAGTGAGCTGCACAGCATGGAGTCTGGCTCCACAGCTTGGACAAACACAGTTGCCGGCCCTAAAGCTGGCATTCGCGCTTCATATTGAGCTCACAACTAGTAAGTACAGTGCCATTCCCCTTCGATTGTCTCCTTATCCATCCTGCTTTATATAAAATACTTTACGCTCCCCGCAGCGCTCTGTGCGTGGCGTCTTGCGGCCCAGTTGCGGTGCAGGGTCAACTGAGGACACCTCCCGCATGTTTGGTGTGCGTGTTGTCACATACCATTACGGTAAGCTGGTGTGTGCCGCGTATCCGCCCATTAACATTACTTTCCAAACTTAGTGCTAACTAAGCGCTCTTTATAAGGTGGGGCACCCGGTTCTACGCGCCTCCTGCGCTGGGTCTCTAGGGGAGCGCTTCACGCAGAGGATTCATGGTGCGTATTTTCCCGGCTCCTGAGCTGCTACGTGGGGTTTTACCTGTACTGTAAATTCTAAATTGTCACTTCTTTTAGGTCCAGTCTTCTCGAGCCTCTCCTTTTCCTCTCCTCCTGAGTTGCCTTGGCTCATGTTTTCCTGGTGTCCATACAGTGTGGTCCATTTAGTGGCCATCAGTTAAAGGAGGTGCCTGTAACTTTTGAAATAGCTGCTGTGAGTTTGCACAAAAGCACATGTAAGCACCAATGCACTTTAAAACAAGTTAATCTGGGGTCATTGTGTTTGTTTTGTGTACTGTGCACTGCATTTTAAAAACTATTTTAATTATGAACTTAAGTGAATGTTAATATAATCAAATAAACATTGTAAACCTTTTTCTAATTCTGTCTCTGTCCCTCAGTTACTTACCTGTGTTAGCCTTAATCCTTTATTTTTTATTTTCCCTTCGGGGTGGCGTTGTTGGCAACAAACCAGTATTTAAATTATCCACCAGTATATCACAGCCCTCGCACCATACATGCACAACCTCGTTCAGACTGAAGATACACCCAAAAGGAAGCCAAACACTGTCACCCTATACAATACCACAAAGTGAGGCGTGGATGTCATGGACCAGATGGTGAGGGAGTACAGTGTCCGCTCAGGAACACGGCGCTGGCCAGTCGCCGTGTTCTATAACATGATTGATATGGCAGCATTGAACACACATGTTCTTTATCAAGCATGTAATGGGAAGCAGGAGAGACGGGTGGACTTTCTGGTGGAGCTTGCTAGAGAATTGGCTCACTGTCATGTTGGTGCAAAGAAGGGACAAAAGGAAGAAATGCTTCGGAAACAACCCTCCACACCAAGCCCTGGAAAAAGACCCCTGTGTCAGGTGAAACATCAGTGCAAGAAGAATCATGCCTCTGTGCGATGTGTCGACTGCTACAGATACACGTGTGGACAATGCAGAAGAGAGTTGCCATGGCATTGCAAGGACTGTGGAGCCTGATAATGCATTTACTGTGGCTCAGAGAATAGACTTTAAAACAGCTCTGCTTGTGTACAAATCTCTCCATGGCCTCGCGCCAAAATATATTAGTGACATGTTAGTACCATATGAACCAGCCCGGACTCTGAGGAGCACAGGGACTGGACTCCTGTTAGTGTCCAGAGTCAGAACTAAACATGGGGAGGCTGCTTTTCAGATTCATGCTGCTAAAATCTGGAATAATCTCCCTGAAGATGTGAAACAGGCCTCCTCTCTGCCAATGTTTAAAACCAGGTTAAAGACAGTTCTGTTTAGCTGTGCATACAACTGAGGGATTTTATATTTTTATCTCCTTTTTTAATGTTCTGTGATTATTTATGATTTTAATGCTTTCATGCACTTTGAGTTGCCTTGTGTATGAATTGTGCAATACAAATAAATTGCCTTGCCTTAAATTAGCATTTTTCTTTTTTTGTAGCATTTAAAATCAATAAATCTCACTAACCAAAGAAAAACCTGTGTGTTGACCCCCCCTCTCCCTAAGATGGCAAAGTAAAGTGGTGTGTATTCTCATATGTAATGGTTAATTATTGCATTTTGTAGTTCCCAAATCTGGTTATTACAATATACATGTCTTATAAAAGATGACAGAAATCAAAATAGTCATTTTTGTATATTGCCATGTGCCTGAAAGTGCAAAATAGCCTTTTTTTGATTTTCCATTTCACTTCAAAAATAGAAAATGTATTGAACGCAAAAGTACACGGACCCACATAACACAAGATAATGAATAGTAAGTATAGCAAAACAATGTACTGTGAGATTTCATAACACTTTGAAGCAACTTTTGTTAAGGTTAAACTCATCATTCTACCAATGTGCAGAAGCCTGTACTTTTCCACTACTTGTTTTGACTATCTCTGCTGGCACTGTGGCAGCTGCTGATTGGAGGTCTCTGTTTCTCCTGAGTATATTACCAGTTGCTGTCTTTAACATCCTTGTTCGTGTGCTTTGTTCGTGCTGTCTCTACCATTGACAATAAAACATGTCTTCTGTCTGAATTAAAGACGTGATCCCAGACTTTGTCATCTTCTTCAGTACTTTAAAAATAAAATAGTAATGCTAGCAGCACTATATACAATGTGTTATCCCTTCCGTTTTTTTTAAATTAAGCTGTAGTGACTAGTACATTTATAGAACTTTCTTTCACCAAAGGGAAACCTATCACGCTCCAAAACGCAATCCAAAAGAGTCTTTTTATCAGTGGCATTTGTAGCGTTTGGTATTTGGCTCAGAGTTGACCTACCTGCCCTGCTTCAGTGTTAGGCAGAACTCTATCTGAAGTGACGGCTGTATTAATACTCAGTGGTCAGAGTGGATTTGGAGGATGAACTGCCTTATCAAGTCGTAAAAAGCAATTCCACACTATGTATTATGCTGAGCTGAGCTGGCCATTTAAATCCTCTTGTACGAGCATGATAAAACCATGGACTCAAACTGGGATAAGTGAGAATATGAAGTGCTGGCCAACTCAGATCAATAGACGCAAAAATCAATGGGTTAATTTCTCGTGAACGCACGGGAGTAATGATACAAATGAAGTAATAGAGGCGTGAAAACTGCTCCGGCAAAAAAGGTTTTCAAATTTGTTCAGACTCTTATTCATGAGCAATCATCTGTGCATTGGCTTTGTATGATGGCCCTGCTTAACAGCTGTGGGTGTGTGGTTCTGCTACCGTTGCACATCATATGCTTGCTAATAAAGTCATACTTGTTATTTGTTTGTTGAATTAATGTATGTGCTGTGCAGGGCCAAAAAAAATGAATAATCTAAACTTGTCCCTTTCTTTTCTTACCTTGTTTGCTGACATTTAACAAGAAAAGTATATAATAATGATCTTTAGCACTTTTCATCAGGGTGCTCTGGTTGCCCTACTACTAAAACGTCCGAATGTAATTATGGTGAAGGTCGGAGGCTTCGAGTAATAATCGGCTTCTCGCTCCTGTCATCACCGTGGGAAACTACTGGTACAACAGGAGATGTAAAATTTGTGTGACCTTGGTCATATGACCAAGGTATATATATATATATACAGTTGTGAATTACTGATTAACTTGTTTCAGCCCAAGAATATATACGTTTGTGAATCAGAAAACAAGAAATGAGTAATTTCCTATTGACCATCTTGAGGGCTCAGAAAGCACTGCTGACCTCCAAACCTGGATATATTTGGATTGTGTGCATGACAGACCTCAGACTCACCCCTCAGCTCATTCAAACCTTGTGAAATGTAATCTCTGCACTCCTTAAACCAGATGGCTATACAAGCCCAAAGCCAGCCCTGAACATGAGAGCAAGCATTAATATTCATTGGCCTTCATGTTTGAGTCATACCAGAGTGTTTACCTGCTTTTGCCAACACAGGGCCACTGCACACTTTATACTTTATGTGAGAGAAAAAGTGAGCTCTAAGGTTGTAACGTTAGTTATATTGAGCATGTAAATGAAGCAAAAGCCAACGAGAGGGCTAAAAAGCTTAAACTGCTATGGTCTGTTACTGAATTTCAAATCAAAGCCTTTGTTTGAGCTATATTAAGAGCAGTGAAACTAGCTCAAGCACTTTTTGGATCTACAACATTGACTAAAATAAACCACCTAGCAATAGTATCCTGACTGCAGTCAATAAAAAACACCTATGATCAATAGGATTGTGGCACCTGTCAATGGAATACATTTGAAAGGGCTGGAAAAAAAAATCAAAGATTGGAAAGTTTCTGACAACTAGAAACATACAAATGCATTGTTCCATGAAGTGAAAACCAAATAACTTGAGAAATGGACAGCCCACTTTTTAGTAAAAGAGTCATTTCAGATCACCAGACCACCAAGACGATGGTAACATGATAACATGGATTGTAAAACTGTTTTATAGCTGTTTTGGGATTTAATATGGGGTATAATGGCCCCCTGGATTCACACCACAAGAGAGAGACAATCAACAACAAATTTCAGTATACAACGAGGTATGGCATGACTATAATGGTGGAGCTGAACTGGGCCGGATGACACAGTGAAAGTACCTCAATTGCTAGGCATGTACTGTATGTGCAGTACCACCGGCTGCGTAAAACGTGCTACGTCTCCGTCCAAACGTGTTTGTTTAATCTCCATTTCTGTTTTCTCCATGAGGGTGAATGAAAGTGGCTCCACTGCCCGCAACATGCGTCCAGTCCGTCCACGCAGGGTGCAACGGACGCGGACGGACAAAATAGAAACAATCCTATTTTTCACGTACGTAGACGCGTGTATGGTCCGTTTTCCATTGGAAATACAATGGAAAAATATATATTTACCACTGTTCTGTCCACACTAAATGTTGAGAGCTATTTAGCTAAGACAGACAGCAAACAGATGAGTTTGTTTACTCATTTACTGTAAAACTGTAACACAAAAATACAGCAATTAGAATAAGTGAATTACAGTGTCTTCTTGTGTCTGAACTATCAGTAGTTACTGACAAATAACATTACAAGTTGGTATTAGGGGTGGGCGAAATTCATATTGCGGTATAATTTGGTGTGTGAATTTCAATATAGGTCTAGCAGGTTCTTGCATAAAATAGTCAAGATTGTTACTTATTTATATTTTAGAATCTAATATATATATATATATATATATATTGCTGTAACATATGCTGTAACATACATTATTTATGTATGTTAGAGTAAAGACCATTTACTGTAAAAGCCTATAAAAAAGAAAAACATATGCATTCATTTAAAATATAAAAAAACTCAAATGTTGAATTCAAAGTCTGTAGAAGTTAGACATGGTCATTATTTATAGTATCTTGAGTTTTGTGCAGGTACATGACTTCAGTAAAAGCTATTGTTTGTTTACAAAGCTGGTCTTGCCATTTGTTGACGCTCCTTTTTTGTTTGTGTTTTTCTCGGCGCTTGCAGTGAACTGGATGATTCGAAGGATTTATCTGCATTAAAACAGCACATTGGATTGGATGTAAATGTGATCATTTTGGCACAATTACTTTTGTTAAACAAAGTAGGTTTCGTGAGCTATTGACCGCAGAAGTCCAAATCTGACGCTAACTTTACCAAACTTCTGCTGTGATGATGCTGCGGACCCGGCACACGCTGGCGCTTTTCAACATACGCCCCCTTTGACACTGAGTGGCCAAAAGGTAGACGCT